GGGGGGGGGGGAGTGTGAGAAATCCCTCTGGAGGGAACACAGGGATTTTAGCCTTTGCAGATCATTTACTCTCACAAAAAACCTATATAACTAACTACAGGAAAGGGAAAACCCCCAAAAAGCATAATAGCTCCGCTTTAAGAATATGATGCACGTCAGATTAGTTCAATTGTGATTTGAAATCAGTGACTCAGTTAATATGTAAATGCAGAGACAGTACAGCAGCACAGAACATGGTTCAGTCTCGGGTTTGATTTGTTAGAAATCTCTGCAGGGAAAGATTGAAAAGTGTTGTACATTCTGTCTGTGGCCAAAAGGCAATTACTGCCAGAAAGCTTTTGACTCCTCCTGATTATGTGATGCCTTTCAAAAAAATTACACAGATTTCGCATCACATGCTATGCATACCTCGGCTTCAGTTGGGATCCTCAGAAGAGAATCCTGACATTCATGCACACCACCCCCAATGCCCCGTATCTACTGTAGGCTTTACTTTGTCTGTAGGGACGATGAAAGACAAATAGAAGGGGGTGCTGCTCACACTGGCTGGTCAGCACTGCAAGAAGTATCTGTGTTAACAAGGCATTTAGTGCGGTCTTTACTTCAAATCTAATAACAATATGAAATGACAGCTTTGGCAGGTAAAGTGGTATGTGGAGTTTATGACATCTTCCCACTGTGTGTTCAGTTATAAACATGGCAATTATTTTTTACCGGTTCTAAACAATTTGAGAACAATTATATTACATTTTCTGCATTAATAGCCCTGACTTTTGAAAAAAAGGAAAAGTAATCCCCTTAATCGTCTAACTTGTTTTTATAAGATTAGACCTGCAAAATATGAATCAGCACTTGGAGCACACGAGGACAAATAAAACATGTCTTCTTCTACTTTTTCCCCTCACTGCTCTGAGATTAATTTAAAGGAGTTGATTAAATGAAAATAAATATCAAGTTTATAAACCTGAAAATTATGATTGTGATGAATGATTTGTGTGTGTATTAATACATATTAGGACAAGCATCTTAATTTGTGATTATATATGATCGGTAACACATGATTAGCTAGATAACTACATTTACTACTTGATCCCTCTCAGAGAGGAATATTATACTTTTACTTTACTACTTTAATTTGATTTGAAGTTACCAGTTACTTTTTTATATAAATAACATGATGTGTTTATATGATATACACACAAAATATACTCGGTAGTACACAAAGTATACACACTGTGCTTTACATTGACAAAATAAAACATTTCAAAAACTATAATATCTAAATGTTTAATCAAACAGAACTATACTTTTGAAACTTAATGTTGTTTTTACTGATAGGCAAATGGACCAATCCGTGGAGCTACACACACACACACACACACACACACACACACACACACACACACACACACACACACACACACACACACACACACACACACACACACACACACACACACACACACACACACACCTGAGATGCAGCTGTCATCAGATATGGGAACATCCACGTATATGAAGCCCCGGTTGTACAAGCCTAGAGTGAAAAGACAAATATACTTACTATACCAAATTGTTATTGTTAACATGTACACAGTTCTGTTCTGTGTATTGCACATATGATAATGGCTTAATAAATCTCATCTGAACTGTGACTTGTATTTAAATTGCCTGTGACTCCTGTATCTAATTGTATTTATTCCAACTCAGTCCGCAGCACTCCAGTGGCCGGGGTGCATGACTGTGAAACTCTTCTTTAATTAACATTTCAAGTGCGTGGACACGACCGCAGCCCCTCTGCTTCATCTGTGATATTCACAACATAATATCATAAGTGAATTTTGCCTCTTGCTAGCTGAATTTGAAAGATGCTAACTCAATTATCCATTTATGCCAACAAATGTAATTTTATATCAAAAAGAAGTTTAGTTCTGAAGGTTCATTCATGCTGTACCAGCAGGCAGATACAAAATAAATAAACAAAAACTACCTCAGGCTCAGTCCCCAACTGCTATTGCAGATTTTGTAATGCTTCCATCTGCACCAGTAAACTATTTAAACAGCACTCATTTCCAATAATACTTAATCTTGTTGTTGCAGCATAAGGATTGTAAAGCCGTAAAGAGAGTAGCCCTTTGGGGCAACTTGTTCCCATAGTTCCTGTTGAAACCGGATGTAAGGGTGGGACAGGAGACTAGAACAAATCTAATTTGGAAAAAGCAAGACAGTGAAGCAACCCACTCTGAAGTGCTTTGTGTTTGTTTCAGTCCACCTCAAATTAAATATAAGATTCAAGGGGAACAGACTGGAGACATATTTTAAATACAACAACATATGAACTAGACCAGGGGTTCCCAAACTTTTCAGCCCGCGACCCCCAAAATAGCAGTGCCAGAGACTGGCGACCCCCTGTCGACGGGGGAGGGGGGGGTGCTAGTGAATTAATTTCAGAAAAAAAAAAAAAAAGTTTGAGAAACACTGCGCTAGTGGATTGTCAAAGAAAGAAATGTCTATGCAAACGTTATTATTAATAATAATGTTAAAAAATAACATTATACAAAATATTAATCAATTTTTATTTTTTTTTATTTTCCATTTTTATTTTGTAATTATCTCGCGACCCCCACTCGGGTTCTCGCGACCCCCCACTTTGGGAACCCCTGAACTAGACAAAGCTGAAAGAATGAATAGGTGCTAAAGAATTGAAAATTGTTGACAATGTCAATATCCTTTGCTTCTATATGTTAAAGAATCTCTAAAAGTAAATAATAGTAATATTTTGACATTCTTGCTAAGTAGCAAACCATTATTGAAATGAATAATTGTGGATTATTTTTAACACAGGGTGTAAACGTTTCTTTGTTATGACATTGATTATGCAGTTTCAGGTGTTTTAATTTGAACATTACATGTGACAGATACTCACTTAACACCACATTGTACTCCATTGTTCCAGCCAGCTGAGCTCCAGCGTCTATCATCTTATCAATGGCTTTCTTCTCTGCTGTGGAACAGATCTGTAAACAAACAAAAACAAACAAACAACATAAGAGCACACCTGGATATGTGGCTTTGTTCGTTAAAAAAAGCCTCCAGTGAACAACAGGGGTAGGGCAGTCTCTGGGATGATGAAATTGTGAATTCCTTGACTGTTTTTCCAGAGTTTATTTTTTCCTATTTATAGAGGGGAGAAGAAGTGTTGGGAACGCTGCAGGTATTTATTTTTAGTCAGGTGAGATCTCCACATGCAGTGCAGGCGCTCGTACGATCAATGATTGTAGCTTGGTGGGTGAAGTGTAAGAAAAAAAACACCAGCCAACATGTTTTCTCACTTATGTTGTAAATCAATGATACAGGAACTGTAGATAAAACTGAATCAGGATTAAAAGAGTACAGTTTTGCATTTGCTATATGAAATAAAATAACATAATTAAATCTGCCAACTCTCCTTCCACTGTATCCATCCCTGCATGCTAATGCTAAACATTACAAATCCATACACATGGTTAAACATGGGAAATAAAAGAGCACTTATCGCACCCTGATATCGTCCTCGGTGATATAGCCGGTCTGCGCCGTCCACCACGGCTCCACAGAGATCTCCACTGGTTTGGATGGGAGCAGGTCTCGCGCTGATTTCCTGCGAAAGAATTTCTGACAAAGGAGAAAAACGTAGAAAGTGAGGTCAGACTAAGTCACTCAAATCTAATTAACATGAGCTGATATGTGCTAATAATTGTGAAGACAATGGTGGAAAGATATTGTGTGTTTTCTGGCTTTTGTAAATACATTTATGAGGCCGTTCTATCTATTGAAAATTGCCATGCAGTTTGCTGTCGGCTAAATCCGAGAAAATACAGCTGGATTAAATATTAAATATTCCCATGTGCACTTTACACTGAATTTTCTAACATGAACACATCTATTTAAAAGGCTGTATTAGAAACATGTCTTACTTTGGACGACCTGCACTGGTTCATTAGGTCAATGTACTGATTTCTCCCGATGCCAAGCAGCCGCAGACCTGTGGAATGACGAGAAGGAGAAAGTCAGCCAAACTCAATTATGACTCTGTAACTGGCCTTGAACATGTAATGTCTGTACATGCACTAAGACATATCATTCTGGCTGCAGTACAGCTGGGAAAAAAAGAGTGTGAAGCATTTTTCAATTACAGACTTTGAGGCTTTGCAGCAGAGAATTACAGCAAGAAGAAAGAAGTTTGAGAATTAGCCTTTTCTGGATATTTCCAACTTCATATTTGAGAGTGGCTTCGGAGAAAGCTTGACGAGCGGCAGCAGTGACTCATCCCAACTCTGCTGAAGGGGTACGTATACACAAAAACCACACACCTTCTCTGCTCCTAGTACTAGACTCCTGGTACTAGGATGGGTTAAAAGCAGAGAACAAATGTCACTGTGTGCTGTGTGCTCTGCATGTGTGACTTAAGAGGGGTTTCATCCCTCCCAATTCTTCTCTGAGACAATCCAAACACACACAGACACAAAAGCACCACTAATCCATCTTGGGAGGTATCTTAAGAGTGAGCGTGTGCATGCATTTTTATCAGTGAATAAATTAAGACGTATGGTCTGTCTGAGAAGATACTGGCCCATAAAGCACAGTTGTAAAGCTGGTACAGAGGTAGAGGTATAATGATCTGACTCTAGATCCCACCTTGTCCTTTCCTCAAGCCTCTGATGCCCATGGCTGGAAGGGGCAGAGCAGAATGTACTGGGACGGCTGCCAGCGCATTCAGGGACAAATAAGGGATGTTCGCATTTCGGCCTACGAACGCAGCAGAATCCTGCACGCATATCCTGCCGTTTCACAGACACACAAACAACCGCCTACGTAAAAAAACACTCTCACACACACACACTTTGCTGTCTTTCCAGCCACCCACTGCAGCATGACACACTTCCAAAGCTCCTTTAGGGAGATTTGAGGAGAAAAGCCCCTGCTGGCAGCCTTCTGTCTCCACAGCGTGAAGGTCCTGCTCAGCCAGGACTCGGCCGCTCTCAGGCCAACGCCAAAGCCCTTTACACTTGACAGCAGAAAGACAAAGAAAGATACTACTGCCTGTACACTTCCAGCTTTGACACAATCTTAATCTGGTTTTACAATCATTACCGAGAACCACAGCTCCTTGGTCAAGTATTATCATTGCAGAAAATCAATTTATAATCCTTTATAAAAATGTAATTTATATCAGTCAATCCAAAATAAATCTATTTACCAGGGCTGGATACAGAGACAAGTTTCAGGTTGATTATTGCTAGTCAAGGGGGTTTTGAAAATCGTTAATCTAATAAACTGTCAAAACCAGGGTGAGATTAGTTTGTTGTTTGAGGGAAAGTGGTAGCAGTCTTATAGGAAAGGCAAGCCTCGTCAAAGCAGAGGTAAAATGCTAACACGAAGAAAACTTATTTTTTACCAACAAATAATATACCCAACTTCCGTAAAACTATTTGATTTGGCTTAATTTACTTATATTGGATACAGGACATACTCTGTGTTAAAAAAAAACAACAACATTTGAATTAAAACAGAAAATATTTTAGCTAAGGGAAATCTCTTTAAATTGCTCTATATGTCCGACCAAACCAATATGTTTTATTCAAACGATTTATCAAAACAGTTAGCTTTCCGTTAATCAAATAATCAATTTGTTCCAGCTTTAGTTTCATTATAGGTGCTGATTTCGCCCCGTGAATAAACAAAATGTCCGATAACTCTGGAATATCTCCAGTTTAAATGTAATGTGCCCCTCCAATGACCGTATGAACGACCTCCAACAAGGGGGGGAACTGAGAAAAAAAATACGGATGAGGAAAAACTCACAGTCAGCTGCAGTGAAGTTGGGCAAGGAGTCGTAACTCTTCTCACTGTTCATAATATCCTGGAATTGCAAAGAAGGAAGGGAGAGTTAGGGAAGGTGGAGACAGGAAGGACACAGGGAAAATAATTGAACTAATTTCCCTCTTTCCCTTTCTGTGTCCCTCTGCCTCTGGTTAATAACAGGATTAGCAGATCTGGGCGGCTGTGCTAATTTCTATACCCCATTTTCAATAAGTGCTTAAAACGGATTATCAGAATATGACACAGCCTTCGGCAATTCAGCGGTCACAATTAAAAGCTCAGTCAAGTTAAGTTTAGCGTTCATGGGCAAATGAAAGAAGCCTTTTTAAGTTGAGTTGTAAGAAAGAGCTTTTGGGCTTATTAGTCATATCTTCTCTGAAAAATGGGAAGTAATGTGAATGTGGAACAATCATATGTGGCTGCTGGTATCGGCGCACACACCCTCTGAGTAAACACACAGGGGGGGGAAACTGAAAAGATATAACTGAGGGCATTATGAAAAAAGATACACAATATATGTAATCAGCTTCAAACTAAACTACGGAAACTACAGAGAAAGTTCATACTTTTAGGAGCCAACTCACTACCCACGCTTTTAACTTGACTTTTCATTGAATTGTATTTATTCTTATAGATTCTTATGTTCTTATTCTTCTGTGTTTATTGACTTCTGTTGGCATCAAGTGTTTCTATTTTTCATAATTATATAATACTACTCTGTTTATCACCTTAGAAGGGGGCGTTGTTTTTATTTGTTTTTGAAGCACTGTGTGTTACTATCTGTGTAATGAACATTGCTATGTAAATAAAGTTTGATTTGATACAGGTGCATTACTGTCATTAAAAACATCCAACTATTATGTGTATATTGATTACTTTTCAAGCTACAGCACCATGGAAACAGTTCGATGAGTTGTTGTATCCATTATTGTCGGGAGTCAAGAAGTACTGGACCTGGTCAAAGTCTCAGAGAAAGTGTTACAGACTGAGACTTATCAGAGAGGGTGAGGCGTGATGCGGACAAAGCCAAAACTGACTGCAGAGCAAACAGAAAACATGTTTCTGGGTGTGTTTATCCTGTGATCAGTGCTGTGTCTGTCAGCTGCTACACGAGGCTTCACTAGACTCTGACTGACACCTAGTGCCTGACTGATGCCAGGTCTATCCACATAGAAATACTCAAGACAGAATATTGTATAGAGCAACCGAATATATCTATCTGATGATAATGGTAATGTATCCCATGTTATATGGAAGTAGACCATTTTCTTAATTCAAAGTTTCTATTGAGGTTTTCGAATAAAGCTTTGAATGTCTGTTTGATTGTGTGAATTCATCACATAAGAAATTATATTTTTTTAAAAAGGGATTCTTTGTATCAAATGAGTCTGTCTTAGTTATGAATTAAACTCTCTTTAACTAATATAACTGTGTCTTTTGCTTAAAATATAAATGTTTATATTTTTTCAAATAGAATCTCTAATATTTCAGTAGCTAAAAATGTGTTGTGAATTATTGAGATTATCACGTCTACTTTTTCAATAAAACTATGATTTTTGGATTTTCAGAAGCAATTTTATGAATAACTCTTAAATCTATTTGATGCAGCTCTATCATGGCTCAATAGTGCTAGCTCCTGTAACATACTGTGGCTACATGATTAAGGTGTAGCTGCAACAAAGGGTATTTCTTCAGCAAATCTTTTCCGGTGTACCATATCATGTAGTATATTTCCAAGATTCAAAGAACACATTACAAATAGCTGCAGGGGGTTGTGAAAAGCTTAGACCTTTCTTATTATAATGGATTCATGGATTCTTTGTTTAGTCTAAAACTGCTTTTTCCGCAGTAGTTTCCAGGGATGCCAAAAATGAGGCACTGTTCAATTTAAATAAGAGACGGAGCTCCGAAACCAATTAGTGAATCTTTGCTGATGAACAATAACAACTCCTGCTTGTCGCCTTGGAGTTTACCCAGCTCATTGTTCTATAAGCGCAGACGAAAACGTGAAAATCACCTTTGTCATTGTCTTTGGTTTCAGAAGACAGCAATGCTGGAAATCAGCCAGAGCTTTCACATACTGTGTTTACAAAGATAGATGTTCAGGTGTTTGAGAAGACTAACAAAAATCCTGATGAATTTAAACCTTTCCACATCAAACCCCATTCTTCATTTTCTGTTGTGCATTGCAGCAGGAGTGGCTTACCTCCATGATTCCTATGTAATATGAGAACGGAGTGATGCGCAGCCCTTTCACCATGATGTCAGACAGGTGGTAGGGGTACAGCATCAGGTGGTCACGGCTGTACTTCAGGAGCTCCTCATAATACTTGCGCTCATCCTTCCTCACGTGGCGCACTGTTCATAAAACACATATAACATGAGTTTTCATGCTGTCATACTTCCGGGAAACCTAAAATAGGTAAATCCAGGTAATAAAAGGAACAATTATCCAATACTGAATAGGCTTCAAAAGGTCACATAGCAAGTTAGACAATTGATTACATAAAGTCTTTTAGACACTGGGAAATGATATAGGTAATGTGTTGATATCACTAAAACCTCATTACTTGTTCATACACATATAATTGTACCGAAATGGGGGTCAAGTATTACCAATATTCCAGGGAATGTACCAGTGAGAGCATGTGTTTGTTGGGAAGATGGCCTTGTGCAGGTGCAATTTTTTGCTTAACTGCCTTTTTAGATACCCGGGCACATATTCTGCCAGTCTATTTAATGTAAATGAATATGTTAACTCTTTTAATCTCACAGCAGCGTATCATCACGTGTGACTACAAGGTGTATGTTTAGCACTGGCGTGAGGTAAATACGTAACTCACCTAGGTTATTGCGGAATCGCAGCTGGTTGCGGATGCTGTAGAGCAGCACATGCTTCTCATACTCTCGCTGAGAGTTCCCCAAACACTGCAGAGCAAAAACAAAGCACAAAGGTTAGGATCATGGTTTGATTGACATTTTAGGGGATAAAATGACCTACTGGGCCCCTTTTTATCAACATCTTTCTACCATTGTCTGTGCAATGTGTATAATTGTCCCATGCTAGAAACTTGGAAACAAAGCGCATCCGTAAAACTATTCAATTATTTCAACAAAAAACAGATGACTCCCAAAAAGCCTTGAGGTATAGAGCCTTTGGGCAGTGGAGCAAAGTTGTGCAAATGATGTTGGATATGTATTTGATCCAGCAGCAATCCTATTGGGTACTTGGTTGGATGTTTTTATTGTGCCTCTGGGTAGATGCACACACACATCTTTGGGCGGCATTAACTCAGTCCGCTGTGAACCGAAGGGAAGCTAGTTCAAGTCCCTGCACAGACCAAGTATGTCATGTTGACTGGTAGCTGGAGAGGAGCCAGTCACATCTTGGGCATTGCCGGGATGCCCATGAGCAAAGCACTGGAACTATAACACCTTTGGGTGCTGTGCTGCAGTTAACCATCATTTCTGAATCCCTCCATATTGATGCATTCATGTTTGTCAGACAAAAAGACTTATAACATAATGAAAAACTGATATTCCCAAGGGTGTGCCATGCATCTCTGGTGAGGATGCACAGAGCCTCTGTGTGTACATACACCCGCCTCCATTTCAGCACGACATGCTAGCTTGATAGCACAACGTATATGCAGGAGGAGGGGGTTATACAGACTATTTATAGTAAAATAACCTTCGTAACTCTTCGACATCGCAAGTCTACAGTTAAAACACACATTATGTACACAGGTGTGAATGATATCCACGCGCTAAAATCATGTGATGCGCCACCTATTGAGCAGCCTGTCATGTGATGCCAGCCAGGGTAGCTTCAGGAGCTGTAATGTAAAGATGGCCAGCTGTGGCTCCGGCTGTATTTCTGCAGAGGTTATTTACCGAGTGGTGCGACACTGACAGCTGTATGACACAGAGCCCCGCGGTGACATTGACAGGTGCATCCCCCAGCACACAGCGGTGTTCCCCGCTCACCTTTCCCCTGAGGATAGCTTAAAAACACGGTACCTGTTTGACATTAGCAGGAAGCTTGGTCCAAGGATAATTCTGCCTGATGTGAAATTCTACGTCCGTGTTCATCGCTAGCTAGCTTGCTGGCTACAACCAGAATCCCTGGAGACGACCTGGAACCTCGGGCAAGTCCACGGTGACTTTACCCCCCTGAAACCCAACAACCGAGCAAGGCGACCCCCGACGTGAGGAGAGCGTTTATTATCCGGTGGTTATTTTCCTTTACAATAAACGGTCACTTCCTTGTTGTATTTTCGAACAAGCCGTTCGTCGGGCTCGTGGCTACATCCGTCACTTCCGGTCGAGGCGTGACGATGGATGTGAATGGGGCTCGAGAGCACAGTGAGAGATGAGAGGTAATGGAGAATCAAACAAACCTGATTTATATCAAAATGAAAGATAGTGTTTCACCCCAAAAACCTGCCTCAAAGGATATGTCTTATTTTGTTTTTTTATTATCAACACATACAAATAAAAGCCTGCACCAAGCCCATTCATTCCTAAAGTACATTTTGGAGGTACATCTCTTTACTTGAGTATTTCGATTTGATGCTACTTTATACTTGTATTCCTACACTGACGTATTACTACTTTTACTAAAGTATAAAAACTGAGTACTTCTTCCACCACTGCCTGTTTTCATTAAAAAAAATAAAAAAACAGCGTACTTCTATTTCAAATAAAGCCTGTATAACATGGGTCATTGTGGTTTGTAGCAACATCACCCAAACAGTTAATAGCGTTTTTGGTGGGGTCTATTTTCAGACACAGATTAATACACATTTTACATTCTACTGCAGATATTACTGATTCTTATTTCAGTCAAGGACGCCTAACAACACAGAATATATTCCAGGTCCCCACTTTATACAGTATATGTCCCTTGGAATTATTTATGCAGCCAATTTGTTACACTTCTATAGTACTATATGTGAAAGAACAACACAATTCGAAAGATATTACACATTAAACATATTTATTTATTTGTGACATTAAACAGTGATCTGTGGAGTATTGAAAATGTTTATTTGTAAACCTGTTTACGGAGCCCACTGTCATATTACTACAGACCCTGCCCTGGAGAACCGCTGCTCTAGTGAGTATTTATGGCAGAAGGACCCACTCAAGGGAGGATCCACTCAAAATAAACTACAGTGCCCATGGTCATGTCACCCAGTGTGACTCATTGATGTGTTTTTTATAGTTTTATGTCAACAAACGAAGTCTATAGCCTCTGGGGAATAAGATAAATCAGGATTGTCTGACACTTTAGAATAACATTAACTAGAGAGAGAGAGTGGTGCCTGTTCATGCCCCTGACTGAACAATATGAAACATGGAGAAACTGTAAGATAAAAGTGGAAGATTATAACCTTCCTCTTGCACCTCAACCTGCATTTATTATGGGTGGTCTTTGTCAGATTTTGAGCTTGGCCCCTGAAGTGTGAGTGTGTAGTACACACCATGACTTCAAGCATGAAGCTGTCACTTGGTAATGGTGTGTGGAGTGTAGGATTTCACTGTGTGACAAAGTCCACCAATGCAGCGTGTGCTCGCATGCCATGATGTCTGACTTGCTGACAGACCACTTTCTTGCAGCTTTGTCATTCAATCTGTCCACATGTAACTCCAGTTTCTTGTGATATGCCACTAAACAAATAGACAGTATTTCATCTCACTGCATCAGGAACATCATGGAGAGCAAATTAGAGAGGGGCTGAAGACAAGGCCTTTTTTGGAGATAGGGAAAAGACATCTTAAAGATATTTACTGTCAGGGAAAGAAACCCATGGAATCATATCTCCTTAAATCTTTCCCGTCAGTGACTTCGAATTATGTTACAATAGATCTTGTCTTGATTCATTTTTATCATTTAAACATGAGGCTTGAAATAAATGGATTTACATTGGAAAAAGTAGTTGTACAAACAGTCTTATCGTTTTTTCAGTTATTTTAAAGTTTAAAGTGTGTATGGCCTAGCATTACTATACTTGTGGGGACCTAAATCTGTTTACACAGTCACGTGTGGGGACTCGCTTCCCTTATGGGGACAAATTGGAGGTCGCCATGAGGGGAATCATTAATTTTAGGGTGAAGACTTGGTTAGGTTTAGGATTAGGGTTAGGGTAAGGGTAAGGGTTAGGGTTAGGCATGTGTTGGTTATGGTTAAGGTTAGGATAAGTCTCCAGGAAATGCATGTAAGTCAATGTAATGTCCCCTGAAGTTATGTATACATGGTGTGTGTGTGTGTGTGGGTCGCCATGAGGGGAATCATTAATTTTAGGGTGAAGACTTGGTTAGGTTTAGGATTAGGGTTAGGGTAAGGGTAAGGGTTAGGGTTAGGCATGTGTTGGGTGTGTGTGTGTGTGTGTGTGTGTGTGTGTGTGTGTGTGTGTGTGTGTGTGTGTGTGTGTGTGTGGACTCATGAACAATGGACCCATGAACAGTCACAACTACATGTCATAGTGTCCAAATATGCCTCTGAGACCACAGCATGTACTTCTAAACTATATACAGGATTGGGTTTCATGAATGCTATTTGGCAACTTGACACATACAGTGCTACAGGGTAACTGACACTTCAAACAGGTGAGAAGTAGTAACTGCAGTCATCTCCAGTTGTGCATGAAGAGAAACCACATCTTGACGCACACTGGGCCTGGTTCCTACAGCTGTTTTCTCTGATCAAGACGGCCCATCAGCACTGCTCTATATTTACCTTCATCCTGGGTTACACACATGACGGAGGAGTAGGAAGGGACCTAATCAGCACAGAAGATGGACAAGGGTTTTGGGACTCTTAGATTAAACTCCAGCTTGGGTGGGCCCGATGGCTGAGTCAGGGCCTTGTGATGGCTCTCCCTCCCCTGGCCTTTGTAAACACTGGACTCAGGCAGAGCCGCTAAGCCGGCAACTGGGTACCAAACCGCTCTGTGTCACATGAGAGGCCTGGCTGGAGTCACAGTGGCTGGGATACTATTCTTAGCTGCAGGAATGTACACAGTGGCCTCATGGCGAGCTCCACAGCGCCTAACTGGAAAGCTTGTTCGTTTCTTTGTGTCATGCTCCTTTTCTCTCCCTGACTACACTACATTTTCTCTCTGGATACTGTTTTGGTTTGTTCTTTGTAGGATTTGATATTTTTTTCAGTCCAAACCAACCACTGATTTTGGATATTATTGATTTTCTGAAGACAGGAGGTAAGGATTTACTCAGTCACAGATGCTCACTGATGAACTGGCAACAACACGTTTCTCTCAAACTTATCAGTTTGATGAAAATAGGATACTTAAATGTTTCAGAACTTTTGTTCAGCCATAAGCTCATTGTCTGCTTCAATCATAATTAATTATGATCACAAATGTTGTTTATGATTAGGTAACTGAGGCTTTGCCTCTGTTACAATAACTTAAAAAGCCATTATTTTAATAGTTTGTACTGATGATATGTTTATAAATCAGCTTTGATATTTGGCATCAGAAGAAGTATACATAGGTCACAAAAGAGCATAAAAAAACCATATTGGTTACATAATAAATGTTTAGAAACATTATTGATGACATTATTGATATATTTTTTTGACAGTGTTGGAAGAAGAAATAATATCTGACTGAACTAAAAAGACAAAAAGTACAAAAGTGAAGGCATCCCAATATACAAAAGTACCAACATAAGAGCACTAATTATGCAAACTGGCTCAATTCAGAGTTACAATTATTATTGAATAATAGTTGATGCATTCATTTTGCAGCTTTTTTTTATGTATTTATATTCTATGTATTTATGTTCATTCTGCTTGGTAGCCTTTTAATTCCCCCTAAAGACCTATAAAGCCTTATGGACATAATGATATCATACTTTAATTATTAATTAATGTTTTGTATTTTTAATCTGATCTGTGAAGTAACTGCTTAAACTGTGAGTTGTGAAATGTCTGTTACAGTCATTTCATAATAAAAGGTAATGACTAGAGGTCCAAATATATCCAACAGGCTGGCAGGCCCTGTAAGTGGGTAAATCAGTAGCTGTCACTTTGGATGATTAAAAGCCTAGTGTTGCTAATAGCACAATGAAATTCCTGCTCTTTGAACCGAAAGGTCTTCACAAACTGTCCAACCAGGGAGAGACAGAGAGAGACTTTGAGAGAGGAGGAAAATGGCAACAGAGATAGAGAGGCAGAGAAATGTCCAGAGAGAGGAGAGACAAACAAAGATGGTGTGATGACACAGCTTTATTAATGTTAGCGGTGATGGGATGCTTAATACGGGAGATGCGGCCTAATGCTACATGGATGCATCAAGATCATTTGGAGGAGGTAAAAATAGCAGTCAGTCAGTAATCTTCACTTTAAGGACAGCTGCTCAGCAGAAGTTTCAGAGTTTGAGTTGGTCTCATGAAACCAGATAAAATGTTAAAGCATATATACATGAATTAACTAACCTAAACTTTGAAAGGAAAACGTCTGCTATTGAAATGTAAAAATGAAGCAAAAACTGCCCTTTTGGAAGATTAGTCATTTGAGTAGTTTGTAGAGGAATCCCATTCTACTTTTAAACCTAAAAGGAATAGTATACAATTTGAAGAAATTACTTTTTTCATTTGATACTCTCATATGTTGATTAAGTCTACAAATATCGTATTGGTACTTACACTTAGTTTTTTGTACAGGAAATGCGGCTTCTCCCCGTGTCTCGTCTTTATCACTTTATGCTAAGCTAAGCTAACTGTTTCCTGGCTGCATCCCCCTACTTAACTCCAGGCATGAGAGTAGAATGGATCCATGCTTTTCCCAATATCTGATAGAACCATGCAATGTCAGTGTATGCCCATGCATTTCCAACACAGACGATAGAAACACTTTGATGATGGAGTCTCTCTTTTCCCTCTCCACAGAATGGCCTTAAAACCACGAGAGGTTTTCTCTTACAAAGACTCAGAACTTCCCACCCACCTTCATGCCCAGCTCAACATCCTGCGTCAGGAGCGTATCCTGACAGACGTCCTGCTCTGCACCGAGCACCAGGAGATCCCCTGCCACAGGAACGTCCTGGTGTCCAGCAGCCCGTACTTCCGCGCCATGTTCTGCAGCAACTTTCTGGAGAGCAGTCAGGCCCGAGTGAATCTGAAGGGGATCTCTTCAGATGTCCTCAGTGGCATAGTGGACTACGTCTACACAGGTTGCATCACTATCACCATGGAGATCGTGCTCCCACTCATGCAGGCGGCCTCCATGCTTCACTATGGAGGTCTCTTCGAGGCCTGTTCCCTGTTCCTCCAGGAGCAGCTGAGTCCAGAAAACTGCCTGAGCA